AAAATGCTAATTTTATTTTAAAAAGTGAGTGAAAAGTTAGCCGCGCGCGAATAGTTGCTAGTAAAAATAAATAAAATAGAGATACACAAATAGAATATGTTTAATTAAATAAAATGGATATAAATAAATAAATAAAGTAAATGTAAATAAATAAATTTGAAATGCAAAAAAAAAAATGTATGTAATGATTGAGATATGTTAAATCGATTGAAACTGTCATAGGCCGATTAGGTGTAATTAAGCAATCACTTTGTTCCCACAAATGATCAATCCAATGGAAACTATATTCGAGTAGTAACTATTGGTAACTCTGGATTTTCGTGTCGAAATCGAAATGTTTCGGCCAATTGAATACCTTTAATGAATTGGCATTGGGCCGACGACGAGCGTGTGCGCTCCACAAGGCCATATGTAATGTCCATTTGTTGTATTCCAATTATGCACTTTACTCAAATTACACACATTGGAGGCATTCATTTCGCACGACCAGTCCCTTAATTTTAATCTGAAACGTGATTCTCTTCAATCATAGGTACAAAATACACACACAAAATTCAGGTACTCTCTGCTACAAACTTTTTAAAAAAATATCCAATTTTTCATAATTATAATTAATCAACTTGGAAAATTGTAATCTTGTTATTTTATTTATTTACTCTTCGAGTTTTTTTTTGGCGCTTGTGGAGATTTATTTATTATTTTGATTTTGATTAATAAATAAATCTTTACAAACACATTTCTTGTCATTAATTTATAATTAAGAATTATGTGGAATTTGTTTATTCTTGAATGAAAGATTGTAATATATTTTGAAATAAAAATTTTCCTCAGAGGAGACTTGAAGTATTTAGCTTTTTAATTAAATAATAATTAAGAGATTTCTTTTTAATTAAAAATAGAAGAAAACATATTTTGTCAAGTTTCCAGATGTAATGAGAAATAGCAAAGCTAATTAAAACAGTTTGTTAACAGGTAGATTTCAATCTTCACTGTAAAGCGTTACACGAAGTATAGTTGAAAACTTGTATTTGCAATTACAGAAATATAATTAAAAGTCTTTCGCTACTTATAAAATTTATATGTTCATCTACTTCATTAAGTAGATTTGCTAGTGACAGAATTCATCATTAATAATGAAATCAATACTTTCTTCTTTCTATCACGAATAAATTGAGATTTAGAAAGTAAATTCATTTTCATCTTCTTTGTAAAATTTGGTTGAGTTAACTTTTTAAATTTTCTTTTGTTAATTTAATTTTTCTCTTACAAGTTAGTTTGTTAGTTAATTATTTGCAATCAGTTTATTACAGCGGGTTGTCACAAATATTTAACTTTGTTTTTTCCTGACTTTTGCCTTATTTCCAGACAATTTTCACTTTTTGCCTTACCCCAAAGAATATTCTGATGCTCTCTAAAAATTATTAGATACTCAAAAATATTTTCTATTATAACTGTAAAATTGTTCAAAAACTTCATTTTTAAATAAATATTTAATTATCATTATTTTCCATAGGAATAAAGATTTTCAAAAATTTCAAATTCTAACCTTTTTGATAGATACTCAAAAAAATGTTTTATTATATTTTTTTACGAGTTTCTTTAAATTGTTCAATTATTCGAAAACATCAATAACTTCATTTTTAAATAAATATTTAATCATTATTACTTTTCCATAGGAATCAAAATTTACAATAATTTCAAATTCAGCTACAATAATTTAACTTACAATAAAAATTTACAAATTTATCTTACAATAATTTTAAAATTATCAACTTAACAAAATTATATTGTAAAACATGAAGAGATAAATATCGAATTAACATAAAATTTTTCCAAAAAAGTTTAATTAGGTATTTACAAAAATCCTAATAAAATCCTTCGCAAGAATTCAATTATTTTTATAGTAAAATTTCTCATATAAATTCAATTATTTCGAAATTCATTTTTAAATAAATTTTTATTAAAAAATTCTACTAGAATTTACTAATTATTTTACTACAAAAACAAATGATTTATTAATTAATTAAATGTTCCTTAAAATTTATTTCTCATAAAGAATTTTATTAATAAATTTCTAATTAATTCAATTCTTTTGCGAATTTTAATAACAATTTTTTTTTTTTAATTACATTTTTCGAGAAATTTGATTAAAATTGTATCAAAAATAATTAAAATCCTGCAATGAGTTTTATTCTTTATGAAAATAATTAAATTCCTGAGAATAGTTTTATTATTTATTAAAATAATTGAATTATTGCGAAAAAATTTGTAAATAATTGAAATCCTGGAAAATTTTTATTATTTTATTATTTATTTTTATTTTATTTATTTTATTTTAAGCGTAGAAATTTATTAAATTTTTTTTAAATAATTGAATTTTAGCGAAGAATTTTGCTGTTTATAAAAATAATTGAAATCTTGAAGAGAAATTTTTTTTAATTTTTGAAAATAATTGAATTTTGGAAAAGAATTTTATTACTATTGAAAATAATTTTATTCTCGTGATTATTATTGTTATTTATGAAAATAATTTGCAAAGAATTTTATTAAAATTCTTGAAAACAAATGAATTTCTGGAAAGAATTTTTATATTTATCAAGATAATTGATTTTTTTCGAAGAATTGTGTTAAAATTTTGGTAATAATATTAAATACATATGAAAAAATTCAACTAATTTGAACAGAATGGAAATTAAAATCGTATTAAAAATAATTGAAATTCTGCGATGAGTTTTATTATTTATGAAAACAATTGAATCCATGTAAAAAATTTTATTTATGAAACTAATTGAATTATTGAGAAGAAATTTATAAAAAATTGTAAATATAATTGAATTACTATATGAAATTTTAATTATTTATGAAAATAATTAAATTTTTGCGTAGAATTTTATTAAGATTTCTTTTAAATAATTGAATTCTTTTGGAAATTTTTATTAAAATAGTGGATATTGAAAATCATTGAATTAAGGAATATTTTTGAAAATAATTAAAATTTTCCTCAGAATTTTATTTAAATTTTTGAAAATAAATTTCGGAGAAGAATTTTATTATTTATAAAGATACTTGACATTTTGACGAGAATTGTTAATAATTTTTTAACATAATTGAATTTCTGAGTAGAATTTTATTATTTTTGTAAATAATTGAATTTTAGCGAAGATTTTTATTACTTTTAAAGGTAATTCAATATTTACTATGAATCATTGTTATTTATGAAAATAATTGAAATTTTACCAAGAATTTTATTAAAATTTTTGAAAATAATTTAATTTTTCAATCATTTGTAACTTCTCTAAAATTAAATTTTTTAAAACTTTTTTAATTAAAATTCTTCTATAAATCCATTATTTTTAATAATTAATATGAAATATATTAAAAAATGTAACTAATTTCTGAAGAATTTGAATTATTAAAATTTTTAAAAAATCTTCATTCGAGAATTAAGTTATTTAAAATTAATTATTGTCAGAAATAAAAAAAATTGAAGGTTTTGTATTAGAATTCGTAGCAAAAACAACATCAAAATTCAGAGTTTTCTTATGAATTTCAAAAGTTCAATTTTTTCCAGTACTTTTAATAAAAATCCCTGACTTCTCCTTGATTTTCCTGACTTCTCCCTGTCCTATGTCAACCCTGTATTAACATTTACAATTAATTTATAAATTATTTACAATTAATTTATTAATTTATAAATTTTTTACATTCAGTTTATTATTTACAGTCAGGGGAGTCAATTATGTAATTTTATTTTGACACTAATTTTTATTTTTTACTTTCTCTTCAAGAGTCTTTTTTCACTCTATTATTTACAATCAAGTTATCATTTACAAATAGTTTGTTAAAATTTGCAATTTTTACTATCATTTTCGATTAGTTTACTATAATTTACAATCATTTTATTATCATTTATAACTTTACTTTACTTATTTCATGAAATTCACATCAAACACGAAAATAATTGTAACAGAGGAGAGGAAAAGAGGAAAAAAAGTAATTCCCCTTGAAATTGCGATTTTGTTTGAAAATTTAATTAAAAAGGGATCAGAAACACTTGAAAGTCTCCGAATATAAATTAATCAGAGAGAGAGAGAGAAAAAAAACTGTAAAATAAAAGTCGATTTAAATTGATGAATTCAGAATTTTCTGGTAGAAATAAAGCGAGAAATATAGAGAAAATTGGGGTGGGGGGGGGGTGGAGAAGGGAAAAAAAGTATCTTGGCTCGTGAGATATGAGTAAAGTGGTTTGTCTGGCAATTTTGAATGTCGGTGCCCTTAATCCTTGTCGAACGATGAATATTCTCAGCTCGAAATGCAACAACGAATGTTGGAAGGTGAACGATCGAGGGAAAACCAAATCCCGCTTCGTGCGGCTCATGCATAATCCAGGAGCCTATATTTTCCCTGGAAAAGCCTCTCAACTCGTAGGAGCCCATGGCTGGGATTACGAAAGATATATTATTTTTTTTCTCCTTTTTTTTTTGCTCCTTAGAGATTTCTGATTTTTTAGCTTCTAACTATTCGCTCCCTTAACATTAAAAATTAGTTCAATTGTTTCACCTTACAAACTCTCATTTCTCTTGTGCGAAGGATTTTTTTTTTCGCTTCTTCTTCACGACGGGAAAGTTAAAATAAAATTACATAATGATTATGTAATTTTATTTTGAATTTCGTTTATTACAATCACTGTAATAGGAAGTCGATTTTATAATTTTTTTTCGACTTATAGTTTTGATTAGGATTTTGAGAATAAATAAATTATATCTTTATTTTTAATAGTTTTAACTATTTTTTCTGAAAATATGTGAAAATGTAGTTGACATCTTTTCTTTCGAAATTTTGCGATTCTAGTATAATTATAAATTAAATTTGTTATAATAATAATAATTTAGTAAAAGTTATGAAAATAATGAAATTGAATAATAAAAGTAAATGACATTGTTAAATGGGAAGATTAATGAATTTCCATTAGTTGAAAAGTTTCGTGTTTCTTTACTCACCAATGACTGTGAGATTTGCCTTGCGATAGGTTGTGGCGAAGTTTGGTGCCTCCGTGGATACTTCGCACTTGTATTGGCCGGAACTTCCTAAAGTAAGTTCCGTCAACCGTATCGAATTCTCCGTTTTCTCCGTCTTCTGTGGATAAACCCGAGACCATTAATGTTTGTTTTAGTAATGAAGAGCTATTGTTATGGAAACATATGTCACTTTTATGCCACAAAATTATTATCGATTGTGAAGAATTATTTTGAGAAATTAGAAATTTTGTCAAATTATATAGAAACCGCAAAATTATTATCGATACACTCTAAATTCGAATTTACTAAAAATTAAATATATTAATTATTATATTAAGTTAGTTTCTGTGTATACTTTTTTTTTTTTCTTTAAAAAATATTGTTTGACAAATCGAAAATACGCAGGTATTTTTTCATGATTTATAATAATAATATTACAAATTAGAAAATTTAAAAAAAATTCTGATTAACGAATAAAAAATATACCCATTTTCTTTGTTATATGCATTTTTCTATAACAAATTTCGTTTGACTGATATAAATTATTATGCAAATTATTCTCTTTTTAATTTATAAAAAATACTAGAAAATTTTCAATTGTTAAAAAATTTTGATTAAAAAGTAGGAAATATACCCATTTTATGCATAATTTTTATTCCTCAATAACAATATTGTTTACAAACTCATTTTTTTCTTTTGGGAAGTAAAACATTAGATATTCCCGTATCTTAATGTTTTTGCAGAAAATTCTCAATTTTCATAAGGAAATAATTTGCATCAGTTCTATTTCTTAATTTCAATTGTTTTAATAAAATTCAAAGTTTTTCAAAAATAAAGGAAAAAAATGTTTATAAATTATATTTGTCAATTAGAAAATTGAATCAAAAATGAAACTGAAAATTTTTAAATTTTTTAGAAAATAAAGGAAAAAATTTTATTGAAAAAAATGTTCTGTTAAATTTATTTACGAATATCTTTAATATTGTAAAATTATTCGAAAACAATCATTTCTTTTTTCAATATTTTAAACATTTCATTATTATTATTTTTCCATAGGAATTAAGATTTTCAAAAATTTCAAATTCAAACCTTTTTGAAATTAATCAACTTTAAAAATATTATTAAAAAAACATGAAGAAATCGATTGCTCCGAGTCGAAGACTCGGAGTTATCTATTTCTTCATGTTTTTTAATAATTAAAGAGGATCGAGTGTGAAAATCATTATTTTATATTATAAGAATATTGTTATTATTTATGAAAAGGAATTATTTTTTAATTTATGAAAATAATTGAATTTCTGAAAAGAATTTTTATTACTCGTGAAAATAATTTTACTCTCGTCATTAATATTGTTATTTATTAAAAAAATTGAATTTTGCAAAGAATTTTATTAAAATTCTTGAAAACAAATGAATATCTAGGAGGAATTTTGATATTTATCAAGATAATTGATTTTTTTCAAAGAATTGCGTTAAAATTTTGGAAATAATATTAAATACATATTACAAAATTCAACTAAATTATTTTCATATTCTATTATTATCTAAAATTTAAACTAAAATTCATTTTCAAATCAATTTTCATTAGAAATATTCCACGAAAATTCAATTATTAAAATACAAAAGTGAATTATTACATTTTTCAAGGAATTCGATTAAAACTGTATTAAAAATAATTGAAATTCTGCGATGAGTTTTGATTATTTCTGAAAATAATTGAATTTTTGAGAAGAAACTTATATAAAAATTTGTAAATATTTGAATTCCTGTAAAATTTTTATTATTTATGAAAATAATTTAATGTTTGCGTAGAATTCTATTAAAATTGTTTCTAAATAATTGAATTCTTTTGGGTATTTTAATAAAAATTGTAGATATTAAAAATCATTGAAATGAGGGAATTTTTTGAAAATAATTGAAATTTTTACAAGAATTTAATTAAAATTTTCGAAAATAATCGAATTTTGAAGAAGAATTTTTTTATTTATAAAGATAATACTTGAGATTTCGTCGAGATTATTTTATAAATTTTGAACATAATTAAATTTTGTGATAAGAATTCTATTACTTTTAAAAATAATTAAATTTATTAACCAATTTTTGTCAAAAATTGAAAAAATTGAAGGTTTTGTATTAGAATTCGTGGTAATTTTATAGTTTAAGAGTCAAACAAAAAAGACACAAAAATTCAGAATTTTCTTATGAATTCTAAAAATTTAATTTTTTTAGTACTTTTAATAAAAATTCCTGACTTTTTCCCGAATTCTCTATGTCAAAATATATTATTATTGTAATTATAATATAATATTAAAACTATATATTCCATTTTTTTTAATAAAAAACAATTTGTGTTAAAAATTTTGAATTAGTTAATTTTACTAATAAATAGTAATTTCTCCTAATTTTATTTTTATTTTAGTAGAAATTTTACTAATAAATAGTAATTTATTAGTAAAATTTACTAATTGAATATAAAATAGTCAGTCACTAATTCAAATAAGTAAACATTTTTTTAAATTCAAATTTAGAAAGCAGCGAAGAATTATAAATTTTAAATATAAAGGTATTTAATATTTTTCAAAGAAATAATTAAGTTTTATTCTTTTTATATATTCATTCAACTCCGACGATAAATGTAGGAGAATTGTAATAATTTATTCACATATTAATTATAATGGAATTTAATTATTAAATTACGGTAAATATCAAATGGAAACTGTGACATTGCAAATTAATAATTTAATCATTAATTTATAAAAAGGAATTTCAAAGGTAATTTTCAACGTTAAATTGCGTACATATTAAACTTGATTAATTTTAGATTTAAATTAGCGAAAAAATGATTATTAATTCATTGTATAATTTCGTTTGATCGTAATCGATTCATTGTACTTTGAATATAATTTGTTTAATAATTTAATTTTGGGGAAAACAAATTTTTGGGAAAAAAGTTAATTTTATTTTGAAGTAACAAATTTTTTTCTATCGTTTTGTGTAAAGGGCTATTTGTCTAAAAAAATTTAAGTCTAGAATTCATTTGATTTATTTTATTTACGGAAAGATTAAAAGTGAATATGATATTAAACTTTTCTCGTATTAGATAATCAGCTTATCTTTAAGCATCAAGAGAAAGAGTGAAAGAGAAAGAAACTAAGAAAAAGTTGACAGAATGGCTTTTTCGATCAACGAACTTGTTTACCTACTGAAAACATAATGCGACATCTAAAAGACTCGTGAAAGTAAACAATCGATCTTGTAAGTAAAATGTAGTTTTTTTTGCTATACAAGTGGATTGTACATTTTGCAATGTTCATTCTTGATAATATTAAAGTTTTTATTCTCTTTTTTACGTAATTTTATTTTTACTTTCATTTTTACTTTGATAGTATTTTGTTTTTATTTTCATTTTTTTTACTTTGAGTTTGATAGATTTTTGCCTTTTATTATCACTGTCACTAATATAATTTTTTTTTACTTTTAATTTAATAGAAAGTAAAATATAATAATTTCAGGACTGAATTTTACTCTCAAGACTAAAATTTATTCAAAAATGGTTCTGAAATAAACGTTTTTAGTCAAAAATGAAGTAAAAATGAAATTTACTTTTTATTAAAAAAAAAAAAAATTGTCCAATTTTCAAAAACGGAGAATGATGAAAGTATTTTCATCCAAAATGTTCATTATCCGCTTTCAAATTAAAATGTCGACTGTAAAATATATGAAATTTTATACCCTGTTAATAAGTTTGAAAAGATTTTTAAAATTGACAAGTAGGCAAAATAAAAATAAAGTAAAATATAATAATAATAATAATAATAATAATAATAATAATAATAATAATAATAATAATAATAATAATAATAATAATAATAATAATAATAATAATAAAATGACGGTTTGTGAGAGAAAATATAATATGAAATTTGAGATGAGAGGACTTCATTTACGAGATTGAGATGTCGAATAAAGAAGACGAGCTTTTTCGAGCGTAAGTCATAAATCCTTCGAAGAGGAGAGTTTCGACATAATTTTCCCCGAGCTTTGTCCTTTCGTACCGTAAACATCATGTTAACTCCCCGAGTAAGGAAGCAAGGTTCGTATTATTCCCGGAAATTTAATCTCCTACAGGAACGGAGAATAGATGGACGAGGAATTTGCTGCGCGCGGATTGCTCGAAGCGAATCTCAGTGTCGCGCTTCAGCCAGAAAGGAGAATGGTTGGTAGGGGATATATTTCAGTTCTAGTCTTTCTTGACCATTGGTATAATTTACTAAGGCTATCACTCGTCGCGGATTTGAATTTTTAATGCCCCAGGGAGTCACAGTGAAGCTTCGTGGATCGTCGCTCTCATTCTCTCTCTCTATCTCTCTTTCTCTTTCTCTTTCACTCTCTATCTCTCGGCAAAGGCAGAGGGCACTCAATCTTCTTGGGATCGTTTCTTTTAACTTTTTCGTGCAGAAGCAAAATCCCGAACGAACTTTTCTGATCGCCCAGAAGGTCTCTGTGCAAAACTGCATGTCAAATTCTCTATCTCGACAAAGCTCAAGTTTCGCGGCAATATTTTTTCTTTTCTTTTTCTTTTATGTAAATTAACAGTTTTTTGATTTTTTTTAACTTTTCGAATTCATTCTTAATTTTTTTTTTTTTGTGTAAAAGTTAAAAAATGTTTTAACACATCTACCGTTTTCCTTATTCAACTACTATTTATACATAAATTTTTATTTATTTAGTGTGCGATTTTTTATTTAACTTTATATGTCAAAACAAAAGTCAAACTACAAAATCGCACCCGAAATTTTTTTTTCTGTGTTGCTTAGAAATATATTTATTTACTTTGGTAAAAACACATATAATATTTATTTACTATTTCTATTAATTCTTTTACAAATATTTAAATTGGTTAAAAATATGTTTATATACTGTTTTTGTTCATTTTTTTTAATAAATATTAAAATATTCTTTATATTTCAGGTAAATTGTGAACGTCTCATCCCTAGGATTCGTCGTATCTTGGAGAGAGAAGTTCATTTCCGGTGAGTTTTATTATTTCATCTAATTTTAATATATCGATTACTTTTTCAATATATAAGTCTTAATAATTGATAGCCCAGGGAGTGA